ATCGCCCTCGCCCCCACCACCGCCACCGCCCCCACCATCGCCTTTGCCCTCACCGCCACCGCCAATCCCGCCCTCCCCACCGCCACCTTACCCACCGCCACCCTCCCCACATCCTCGCCCACGCTCACCACCACCGCCACCTCCATCCCCATCGGCTGCTGCCGGAACCGAAGCAGGCGTCCGCCCCACCTCACAGGACTCGAAGACGCCCATGGCGGCAGTGCTTATGGGTGGGGGAGCTACACTCGCTGCGCTCGCCTTTTGCCTTCTTGTTCTTGTTTTCATCCGTCGACGGAGCCGGAGGCCTCCGCTCCCGAAGCCGATGCTGCTGGCAGCTCCGCTGTCACATCCGCTGCCTCCCCCTGTGGTTTCGGCGTCCTCGCCGTCCTCGCCAGCGCTCCCGCATCGATTCGACTCGCCGCGCCCTGCGCCGAGCACGCCGCGGCTGGAGCTGTTATCGCACTCGGCCCACTCGCAAGAGCTCGGCGTCGAGCTCGATGACAGCTACGCCGTAGACATTGTGCACGAGATTGCATCGCTGTTGTCGTCCGAGTGACACGCGGCAGGTGCTGGCTTCCGTAAAACAAGTGTGTTACTACTGCACTACTTGACGTCAGGCACGACGCCGTGGCGGACAAAGTGGTTGCCGCACGACTGGCAGAGCTCGCGGGCGTCGTTAGGCCCGCGGTAGAGCAGCTTTGTGGTCGTACCGCAAGCGGCACACGCCGTCGGCCGCGGCGGCGGCTGGAGGGTCGAGGCGCGGACACGGGTGTGGACCGGGGTAACGGGCTTGGTTCCGCGAGCGATGGGCAGCGGCGGCTGGGCGTAGACCATGTCGAGCATGGTGGCGAGCGACGACGGCGGCGGTGGCGGGCGGGCCTGCGAGAGTGCATACGAGAGAGTCGAGGCCTCAGACGAGCGGTGAGCCATGGAGAGGATCTCGACAACGGCGGTGCCCGGGACAACGTCTGCGGCCTGGGCCTTGGGCTCCACGAGAGCGTGCTTCTTCATCCAGGCGAGCTCGTCGAGGGTGGCGAGGTCGCGGTCGGCCACGAGCTTGTTGAGGCAGGTGTTGACGGCGTGCGGCGAGAGGTCGCACGCCGAGAACACCTTGTTCTGCCACTCGTCGAGCGAGAGGTAGGCGACAAAGCCGCGCGGCGTCTCGCGCCAGAACACAGCCATGGCCATGTGCGGCAGGACCTCGATGAACCGCCAAACCGGGACTCCGTTAGAGTCGACGATGGGGACGGCCATGGTGGAGAGTGCGTTGCGCGGCGGTGAGCGTGCCCGCGTCCGCGGCGGCGAGCTGGCCTTGATGGGCGAGATCGACCGGGTCGGCACCGTACCCTTGCTCGGCGACGCCTGCGCCGGCGAGCTCATGTTCGTTGCGTCGGGCGGCAGCGGGGCCGAGACTGCAGAGCCGGCTGCTTCGCCACCCTGGCCAGCAATGGGCGTGACCGGTGTGGTCGGCGGCGGGTTGGCGGCGGCGGCGGCGGCGGCGGCGGCGGCAGCAGCGGCGCGGGCCGGATTGTACGCGGCCTGCTCGTCGGGGCTGAGGTTCTTCCACATGGCCAGCAGGACGGCGTCAAGCGACTCGGGTGCCATGGAGGCAAACTGCGGGAGGGCGGCGAGCGGGATGCGACGCTCGGTGGCAAAGGCCTGGAAGGCGCGCGAGGTGGGGAGCTTGGGCCGCTTTGCGTCTGGCCCAGCGTCCTTCATCTCGCTCGGGCGCGGACGCTTTCGCGACGGGCCATGCTCGCCGGCAGACTCGACATGATCGCGGACGCGCTGCAGCGGCGGGACGGCGGCGTAGTGGAGGGTGGTGTCCGACGGGCGCGGGACGAGGACGTCAACGTCGGGGAACCAGACATCTGCGCCCGAGGTAGCCCTGGTGACCCAAGACGGGTTGACGTTGGGCAGAGTGACGCGGGAGAGCTTGTCCATCTGACCACGCATGATATGAGCCTCATATGCGTAGATCTGTGAGCGCATGGAGGTGGCGATGGCGACAGCAAAGGAGGGCGGCAAGCCAAGTTCGGCGGCCATTGCGGTAGCAAAGGGCTGAATGGAGTCCTTGTTGTTGGGCTCATTGAGATCCCACTCGATTTGATCACGGAGAGTAACCGAGTCAATCTCAATGTCAATGGTAAGCGGAACTCTGATTTCACCAAAGGCCGGATCTGGGACAAAGAGGGTATACTCCTCGACTGCCTTTGAGATAGCAGCCACGACAGCATCAACAAAGGAGAGAGGGAATGATGCCTCTTTGAGCAACTGAGTAGCAAATGCCTTCATCCTCTCCACATCTACCTCACTTCCATCCCATAGAAACTGTTCATCAATGTTCTTGTCACCACTCTCAAGTGAGACACTCACAGGGAGGAGGCCTGCCAGCTGAGCCGACGTCGTCGCCGACCAAGCACGTTCCGCCACCATGTCTCCTGCTGTCTCGCTGTCGTTGATAATCACAGGAATGGTGTGCGCACTCACCACGCTCTCTCCCTCCTGCATCTTGCCCTGGCCTGTTGACGACGTGGTTGGGGTGGTCGGGGTGGTGGTGGTGGTGGTGGGTGGGGTGGGGGGGGGTGGGGGGGTGAGGTGGTGTCGTCGATGTTACTCTGGGAGGGGAAAGGGAGGCGATCGGCTGAGGGGGTTTTTGGAGCGGGTACGATTATTTGTTGTTGGGATTAATTGTTGGGGTGTGGGGGTGTACGATTATTTGTTGTTGGGATTAATTGTTGGGGTGTGGGGGTGTACGATTATTTGTTGTTGGGATTAATTGTTGGGGTGCGGGGGTGGCGTGTGTGTGTCTGTGTGTCTGTCTGTGTGTGTGTTTGAAGGGAAGGGGAGGGGGAGGGGGATTACGGGAGGAGGATCGACATCTGCCGCTCGAGATAGGCGGCAGCCTCGCCCTCGGTGAGCGAGCCGGCGTCGAGGGCGGCGAGGACCTCGTGGTGGATGTGGGCCTCGGCAGCATTGTCCGAGCGCGACATGTGGGCGGCGACACGGATCATGGTGGCCTGGAAGTCGTGGACTGGCTGGTCGGCGAGGTGGGCCAGGTCGGTGGCCGATGGCACATCCGGCACGTCCGGCAGCGTCGTTGGGCAGTCTGTCCGCGGCGTGGTGAGCGAGACGACCGAGTCAAAGGGCGCGGCCCAGGCATCGCGCTTGGTCAAAGTCTCAGTCAAGCCAAAGATGTTCTTGAGCGAGGCGTAGAGCGAGGCGTGCGAGAAGCGCGAGGTCGGCTGTGGCTTGACATCGGGCTCGGGCTCGTGGACTACGGTGCCCTTGGGGATGAGCGGCGAGACGGCGATAAAGGGGACGCGCACGCCGAGGCGGTCAAAGCCAAACGGCGGGCTGGTGGCAACCTTGCCGTCCGGGTTGGGCACGCCGTCGAGGGGCGTCGGCACATGGTCTGCAAAGCCGCCGTGCTCGTCAAAGGTGATGAGGAAGAGGGTCGAGTCCCACTGCGGCGAGGCGCGGATGGCCTCGTAGATCTTCTTGATCAGCAGCTCGCCAAGCTTGACGTTGTGGGCCGGATGGTGGTCGTTGGCCGGAATGTCCAGCACGTGGAAGTACTTGGGCTCGAGCCAGGTCAGCATCGGCAGGGTGCCGGCGGCAACGTCAGTAAAGAAGTCGTCGAGCGGATGAAAGTGGGTCATGTGGTCGCGAACCTCGCGATTAAAAAAGACGGTGGGAAAGTCCTCAAAGTAGACGCCGAACGGGTTACGCGCGCTGCCCGACGCCTTGACGTGGTCGTAGAGCGCGTTGAAAATCGACTTGTTCGGCAGACCCTCGATGAGCCGCACATTCTCGTTGGTCGACATGCCGTCCGAGGTGCACGCGTAAGCAAAGGCTCGGTTGACCTCGGTCGGTCCGGGCACCGAGGCGTAGAACCGGTCAAAGACCGCGTACTCTTGCGCCAACGTGAAGAGCACCGGCAGCGTGGCGTTGTGGAAGCAGTCCATAGCCCGGCGCCCGTCCTGGTGAGTCAGCGCAAGGTCCTCCACAAACCCGTCCATCGTCGCTGGGTACTTGTTCGGCATGTCCGGAATCCGTCCGTGGCCAAACACCTGGTCCGTCGTCCCGGGCACTGAGTGCTCCGGCGACGGGCCGACGTCCACCGCGTCCTTGGTCACAAACACCTTTTCCGCGCTCGGATCCGACGTGTTCGTCGGGTTGAACTCGCTTCCAGTCAGCCCGTCGACCTCGGGGTTGAGTTCTTTGAGCCATCCGAGAAAGTGGTCGAACGATCGGTTCTCCATCATGAGGACCACAACCTGTTGGGTGACCAGGGCCGATCGAATTATCCAACGTTTGCCATTGATTGACCATCGGCAAAAGGCGTGCGCATGCGTCAGCCACCCCCTCACCGTCAGCAGCATGTCCATAGCGGAGCCAATAGCGAGCAGAAAAGAGAGCGGAAACGTTGCAAGCAGCCGTCATAGAGTATCATGAGTATATGTATCAACTTGTATCATCTGTAACATACCACATGTATGCCTATGCCCGCGTCCAAAGTGGGTCACATGCGGGCAACAAGCGGAAGTTTGGCAGCTCCCGCCGCCCCGCTCCTCTCCCCCCGCCCCCCCCCCCCCCTCCCACCACCTACAGACAGACAAAACAGGAGAGTGAAGAAGAGAGAACAACGTAGACATTGTTTGTTATATATATATAATATGATGATGAAGATGATGGATGGATGTGTACGTACATTCTTGATGGGAGAGCTTGCGTTGGTGATGGGAGAGACAACAAGGACAAGAAGCGCAAGACTGATGACTGTCTGACTCAACTTCATTCAGTGTGTGTCAGGTGGAAGGCAGGGAGAAGTGGTTGCTGGCGAGGGCGAGGGCGAGGAGGGGGGTCGCCGGGTGGCGATCATTACGAATCGGATCGGATTCGGATGAGAGGATGTAAGGATTGAGATGGCTAGATGAGATGGCTATATACGGATTGGGTTTGGGGCGGGGCGGGGGCGGGGTGGGGGGGGGGGGGGCGGGGGAGTGATGCGCGATGGGAAGCGGCGGCGCTGTTGTTATGGGCCCATTGTCGCGCGACGTTGTTGCCACAGAGGAGAAGCAAAGTGAGGCGAGAGGTCGGGTGGATAGGCCAACATGAGCAGCCGTGACTCACGCTCCTGCAATCTCGCACATGGTGGGTGGTCGTCCGACTCGGGCCACGGGACCGCGAGTAGGCAGAAAGACAGGCAGGACGGCGAAGAGAGTGGACCACAGCTACAAGACGCCGATGCGGGCAAGGATGACTTCCAGGCGATCGATGGTCGAGACTGAAGCCGATGCCACAATCTGGACGCCATCCCAGCCGGGTACGATGACGGGCGGATCAGGAGCAGCATCATGCGGATAGTCAGCCTTGCCAACAACCACAAAGGCCGGCAGCGAGACTACGCCCAGCTGATCAAGCACCGCTTGGTCCGTCTCATCGATATCCATCTCGTAATAGTGAGAAAATGGCGAACCACGGACAGAGAGCTCGCGGAAGGCTGGGACGAGCGTCGCCGCCAGCGGAGTCCCGTCCTGGAAGATGTGCACAACAGCCAAGCCCGAGGCAGACAGCCCATCGACAATGTTCTCCAGCTCGCTTCCTCCAATGCTTCGCGTCGTCATCACCGTTCTTTCCTCTCCGCGTCACGTATTGCCAAATACCACCTTCTTGCCTCCTTGCTTGCTCTCGACCCCGTCGCCCCGTCGCCCCGTCATCGCCTGCAGGTCGCCCAGTCGCCCAGCTCGAGACGACAGGACGATCATCGGGCCGATCAGGGGGGGGGGGGGGGGCTGGGGGGGGGGAGCTTTGGGGGGGGGGGAGGTAGCAGTCACACAACATGATCAGCCTCGCAGGGTTGAAAATGGTAGCGGTAGCTAGTGCTTGGCCATGATCTTGTCGCTTTCAGGCCTGTCGCCAGCATGCCGTCTGGCCTGGACGATCTGCCACAGCTATCGCTCTCTCCTCCGCCCGCCCACTACGTCACCACAGGCGACACCACCTAACCCCCCCCCCCCCCCCCCCACCCCCCCCCCTCCTCTCTTCCCTAACCACAGCCTGCTGCGCAAGAAGAAAGAGTTTGTGGTTGGCTTGGTATGGAGAGGTTCGCTAATAACTCGCTGGGACCCATTGCGTCTGCAGAGACACGGAGAGCGCTCGGAGCTCTGGCCGAGGAGCGACCGGAGCGACTGTCACTGGCGGGGAATGGCTTGGTGGCGGTGCCGGCGTCGGTACTCTCGCTGACATCGTTGACGTGTTTGGATTTGTCTCGGAACGCTCTGCCTTGTTTGCCATCATCGTTGACTCGTTTGGATCGCTTGATCGTTCTCCGGGCTCATCACAACGCACTTCGGGCTCTCCCGCCACATCTCCGTCACCTGGCCTGCTTGGAAGAGCTGGATGTGGCCCACAATGCTCTGACTCTGGTGCCGGATGCGCTGACTGAGCTGCGGGCGCTGAGAGTGCTGAATGTGGCACACAACGCCATCGATCGCCTGCCCAAGGCGCTGTTCGAACTGCCGCAGCTGGACGTGCTGGACGCCCGCGGCAACCCTGTGGCCGCGACCATGCCGCTCCTGCGCGAGTCTACCAGTGCAGACGAGGAGAGCAACGACGGCGATGAGACAGAGCTGCTCAGCGACGGATCGTCGTCGGACTGGTGGGCTGGCGATGACCGCGGCGCGAGCGAACTGCGCAGCGAAGTGACTGCTCTCAAGTCGGAGCTCTCGCTCTGCAAGCACAACGAGTCCGAGCTGAGGCGGCAGGTCGCGCACCAGGACCGGTCGCTCACCGAGTTGCGAGCGCAGGTGGTGGTGGCACAACAGCAGGCAGCAGCGGCCGACATCCAGGCCCGCAAGCACCGCCAGGTCTGTCCGCTCCACAACGCAGCGGCTACAGCTGAGGCCGATGCGGTCCGGGCGCGAGCCGAGGCACTCGACGAGCGGGCGGCCAAGCTTACTGACGCGCTCCGCCGCGAGCGGGCGGCGGCGGTCGGTCGAAACGAAGAGCTCAGCAGTCTGCGCGCCCAGCTTCGGACGATGCAGGCTGACAATGCGCGGCTTGCTGCCGAGGCTCGCAGTGCGTCGCTGGCCCGACTTCGGGCGGCGTCGACGGTGACCCCGATGACGACACCAAGCGCAGCGCCCATGAGGGCCGACGCAGCAACAGCGGCGCAACTCAAGGCTGCACTGGACGAGCTTGAGGTACTGCGGATGCAGACGCAGACCGCCAACCTGCGGCACGCGACGGAGCTTTCCGAGGCCCAGCACCGAGTGCGTGTGGCCGAGACTCGCGAGCACGTGTCCAAGGACGTGGTTGGTGGCGCAGCAGCCGAGCTGCGTGCGCAGCTAGTGGTTGTCAACGAGGAGCACGCCAAGGATCGGGTGCGCTGGGCGCGCGAGCGCGAGCAGCTGGAGGATGCGCTGACTGGAGCGCGGGCGCTGCTGACGGAGCGTGTCGAGGACCAGGTCCGTGTCATGAGGGTGGTGGCACGGGCAAGACACACGCCTGCCGCTGCTGACGTTGGCGCCCCAGAGCTTTGTGCTGCGCTCGACGCGCTGTCGACGCGACTCGCACCGTTGCGGGAGGTGGCCAACTCTCATGCTGTGCCGATGCTGGACGGGAGCGGGTCGCTGGCTTCGGCGGTGGCGTTTGTGGGCGCGCTGGCCGACGAGATGGGTCCGCTGGCTGCAGAGGCACGGCGCAAGGCAGCCGCCCGAGCACAGAGAAAGAGCGGTGCCAGCGAGCAGGCAGTGTGGGAGCGAGAGCGGGAAGAGCTCCTGGCGCTTGTCGAGTCGCAAACTGTCCAGATGCGGCAGCTGGCCGACGCGCTCGCTACGGCCGACGCCGACCGGAGTGTTGATGCTCAGGCACTGGAGCATTTGCGGACCCTGGTGGCGGCCGCCAGTGGGAGGCCAGCCCACGCGTTGACACCCAACGAGCTCATGATGCAGGCGGACGAGATCGCGTTATCGAGCCAGATGGTTCCGCCGGAGGTGCATGAAGCTGTGACCACACTAGCTGCGGCCGCGGCCGGTGACGATGACGATGGTAGCGTTGTCTCTGCCAATTCTACTCTCTCGCGCGTTTCAAGAAGTCCCGACGAGGTCGCGCGCAAGGAGCGGCAGCAGCAGATGCGACTCCAGGTCCAGCCTGCTGGAAGCGGCACGAGCAAAGTCGAAGTAGTGCCTGTGCTGGTCGCTGCTGGAACGAGTGGTGCCACGCCGCACGAGACGGCGGCGCGAGCGGAGAGCACACTCGCTGACGTGCAGGAGCTCCGGTCGCGGATTGTGACGCTCGAGGCGGAGCTGGAAGCAGCGAGAGACCAGCAGAGCAAAACCGACACTGAGTTGGCGGCGCAGCTGCAGGCCGCTCGCGAGGCGGGGGCGGTGGTCGAGGTCGAGCTTGCACAGGCAAAGCATGCACTGAGTGTGCTTGTCGGGCGTGGCGAGACCGAGACTGTAACCGAGTCGGAAGCGCTTAGCCTCATGTCAGGCGAGTCGGTTCTTTCCGAGACGGCGGACGACGCGGCGCGAAAATCGAAAAGAGGCGGCGGCGACTGCGGATGAAGATGCTTAGGGCAGGAAAGTCCGAGGCTGACATCGAGGCTGCGCTCGCGGCACTAGCCGCAAAAGAGAGCGGACCGAGCATGGCCGAGCTCGTGGCCCAGGCGGAAGCAGCTGCTGGCCAGCGGCTCGAGCTCGAAGCGGCCGTTGAAGCGCTTCAGCTGCAAGTCGCCGAGCTCGAGGCTGACGCTGAGGTGGCTGCAGTGGCGGAGCGGGCGCGTGCCCAACAAGCCCAATCGACAGCCGGGCTAGAAGCAGTCTTGGAAGCTGAACGCGAGCGGGTGGCATCGCTGGAAAAGCAGTTGGCTACGGTTGCGCGGAACTCCAAGGCGGCGAACGAAAGGGTGGCCGAGCTGGAGGCTGCTGTCGCAGAACCGACCACACGGACCGCCGAGCTTGAGACGCAGCTTGCCGCCGCGACGGCAGCGCTGGCCAAGGTCGTGGGCGTGACGCCGGCGGCGTCTGAGACGATGAGTGTGATGTCGAGCGAGTCTGCGATGTCTGCGATTTCTGTCTCGGACACTCCAGACGAGGTGGCGCGGAAGGAGAAGAAGAAGCGGCGGCGTCTGCGGATGAAGATGCTCAAGGCCGGCAAGAGCGAGGCCGAGATCGAGGCGGCGTTGTCGAGCGAGGCCACCGCGAGACCGACTGTGGTGGCAACGAGCGTGGACGACCTCGTGGCCGCGGCCGAGGCTGCTGCTGCCGAGCGCGTTGCGACGGTGCAGGCGCTGGAAGCTGAGAAGGCGCGTGTTGGCGAGCTAGAGGCAGAGGTTGCTGCCGCTACCGCTACTGCTGAGCAGGCCGCAGCGGCAACGACATTGGCTGAGGGCCGGATTGCCGAGCTCGAGACTGAGCTTGCCGAGGCGACCTCTGCACTTGTCACAGCCCGCGAGCAGATGTCCGCCAGCGATGCTGCCGACAAGCAGCGGATGGCCGAGGCCACCAATTTTGAATCGTCACTCGAGAAGACCAAGGAGCGAGTGTCCGAGCTCGAGGCGGAGCTGGGTGCAGCACGCGAGCGAGAGGCGGAGCAGAAGCAGCAAGTGGTCGAGCTCGAGGCGCAACTGGCGACGGCGACAGCAGCGCTGACCAAGGTCGTGGGCGTGACGCCGGCGGCATCTGAGACGATGAGTGTGATGTCGAGCGAGTCTGCAATGTCCGCAATGTCTGCGATTTCTGTCTCGGACACTCCAGACGAGGTGGCGCGGAAGGAGAAGAAGAAGCGGCGGCGTCTGCGGATGAAGATGCTCAAGGCCGGCAAGAGTGAGGCCGAGATCGAGGCGGCGTTGGCGAGCGAGGCCGCGCCGAGTCTGGCGGTGGCTAGCGCGGATGATCTCGTGGCCGCGGCCGAGGCTGCTGCTGTCGAGCGCGTTGCGACGGTGCAGGCGCTGGAAGCTGAGAAGGCGCGTGTTGGCGAGCTAGAGGCAGAGGTTGCTGCCGCTACCGCTACTGTTGAGCAGGCCGCGGCGGCAGCGACATTGGCTGAGGGCCGGATTGCCGAGCTCGAGACTGAGCTTGCCGAGGCGACCTCTGCACTTGTCACAGCCCGCGAACAGATGTCCGCCAGCGATGCTGCCGACAAGCAGCGGATGGCCGAGGCCACCAATTTTGAATCGTCACTCGAGAAGACCAAGGAGCGAGTGTCCGAGCTCGAGGCGGAGCTGGGTGCAGCACGTGAGCGCGAGGCGGAGCAGAAGCAGCAAGTGGTCGAGCTCGAGGCACAACTGGCGACGGCGACAGCAGCGCTGACCAAGGTCGTGGGCGTGACGCCGGCGGCGTCTGAGACGATGAGTGTGATGTCGAGCGAGTCTGCGATGTCTGCGATTTCTGTCTCGGACACTCCAGACGAGGTGGCGCGGAAGGAGAAGAAGAAGCGGCGGCGTCTGCGGATGAAGATGCTCAAGGCTGGCAAGAGCGAGGCCGAGATCGAGGCGGCGTTGGCGAGCGAGGCCACCGCGAGACCGACTGTGGTGGCAACGAGCGTGGACGACCTCGTGGCCGCAGTCGAGGCTGCTGCTGCCGAGCGCGTTGCGACGGTGCAGGCGCTGGAAGTGGAGAAGGCGCGTGTTGGCGAGCTAGAGGCAGAGGTTGCTGCCACAACCGCTACTGCTGAGCAGGCCGCAGCGGCAGCGACATTGGCTGAGGGCCGGATCTCGGAGCTCGAGACTGAGCTTGCTGAGGCGACCTCTGCACTTGTCACAGCCCGCGAACAGATGTCCGCCAGCGATGCTGCCGACAAGCAGCGGATGGCCGAGCTGGAGGCTGAGGCTGCGGCAGCTGCAACAGCGGCTCAGGCTCACATCGTCGAGCTCGAAGCGAATCTTGCGGACGCTCACAAGGCCGGCGCGGCTTTGGAGGAGCAGATTACTGAGCTGGGGTTGGTTGTCGCAGCGAAGGCGGTGGCGGCAGAGAAGGCAACAGCTGAGGTGGAGCATCTCCAGGCCGAGGCCGCCGATCTTGAATCGTCACTCGAGAAGACCAAGAAGCAGGTGTCCGAGCTCGAGGCGGAGCTGGGTGCAGCACGCGAGCGAGAGGCGGAGCAGAAGCAGCAAGTGGTCGAGCTCGAGGCACAACTGGCGACGGCGACAGCAGCGCTGGCCAAGGTCGTGGGCGTGACGCCGGCGGCATCTGAGACGATGAGTGTGATGTCGAGCGAGTCTGCAATGTCCGCAATGTCTGCGATTTCTGTCTCGGACACTCCAGACGAGGTGGCGCGTAAGGAGAAGAAGAAGCGGCGACGTCTGCGGATGAAGATGCTCAAGGCCGGCAAGAGTGAGGCCGAGATCGAGGCGGCGTTGGCGAGCGAGGCCGCGCCGAGTCTGGCGGTGGCTAGCGCGGATGATCTCGTGGCCGCGGCCGAGGCTGCTGCTGTCGAGCGCGTTGCGACGGTGCAGGCGCTGGAAGCTGAGAAGGCGCGTGTTGGCGAGCTAGAGGCAGAGGTTGCTGCCGCTACCGCTACTGCTGAGCAGGCCGCAGCGGCAGCGACATTGGCTGAGGGCCGGATTGCCGAGCTCGAGACTGAGCTTGCCGAGGCGACCTCTGCACTTGTCACAGCCCGCGAACAGATGTCCGCCAGCGATGCTGCCGACAAGCAGCGGATGGCCGAGCTGGAGGCCGAGGCGGCGTCTTGCAAGGCGGCGCATGAGACGCAGACTGGCGATCTCGAAACCAAGGCTGCCGCTGCAGTAGCAGCGGCGACTGCAGCCAAGACCCACATGGCCGAGATCGAGGTGGAGCTCGCTGATGCACATGAGGCCACGGCAGCGTACAAGCAGCAACTTCTCGAGTTGGAGACTGCTGCTGAGCAGGCCGCAGCGGCAGCAACATTGGCTGAGGGTCGGATTGCCGAGCTCGAGACTGAGCTTGCCGAGGCGACCTCTGCGCTTGTCACAGCCCGCGAGCAGATGTCCGCCAGCGATGCTGCCGACAAGCAGCGGATGGCCGAGCTGGAGGCTGAGGCTGCGGCAGCTGCAACAGCGGCTCAGGCTCACATCGTCGAGCTCGAAGCGAATCTTGCGGACGCTCACAAGGCCGGCGCGGCTTTGGAGGAGCAGATTACTGAGCTGGGGTTGGTTGTCGCAGCGAAGACGGTGGCGGCAGAGAAGGCAACAGCTGAGGTGGAGCATCTCCAGGCCGAGGCCGCCGATCTTGAATCGTCACTCGAGAAGACCAAGAAGCAGGTGTCCGAGATCGAGGCGGAGCTGGGTGCAGCACGCGAGCGAGAGGGGGAGCAGAAGCAGCAAGTGGTCGAGCTCGAGGCACAACTGGCGACGGCGACAGCAGCGCTGGCCAAGGTCGTGGGCGTGACGCCGGCGGCATCTGAGACGATGAGTGTGATGTCGAGCGAGTCTGCAATGTCCGCAATGTCTGCGATTTCTGTCTCGGACACTCCAGACGAGGTGGCGCGTAAGGAGAAGAAGAAGCGGCGACGTCTGCGGATGAAGATGCTCAAGGCCGGCAAGAGCGAGGCCGAGATCGAGGCCGCTTTGTCGAGCGAGGCCACCGCGAGACCGACTGTGGTGGCAACGAGCGTGGACGACCTCGTGGCCGCAGTCGAGGCTGCTGCTGCCGAGCGCGTTGCGACGGTGCAGGCGCTGGAAGCTGAGAAGGCGCGTGTTGGCGAGCTAGAGTCAGAGGTTGCTGCCACTACCGCTACTGCTAAGCAGGCGATGGAAGTGGAGAGAGCGCGTGTTGCCGAGCTAGAGGCAGAGGTTGCTGCCACTACCGCTACTGTTGAGCAGGCCGCAGCGGCAGCGACATTGGCTGAGGGCCGGATTGCCGAGCTCGAGACTGAGCTTGCCGAGGCGACCTCTGCACTTGTCACAGCCCGCGAACAGATGTCCGCCAGCGATGCTGCTGACAAGCAGCGGATTGCCGAGCTGGAGGCCGAGGCGGCGTCTTGCAAGGCGGCGCATGAGACGCAGATTGGCGATCTCGAAACCAAGGCCGCCGCTGCTACTGCAGCGGCGACTGCAGCCAAGACCCACATGGCCGAGATCGAGGTGGAGCTCGCTGATGCACATGAGGCCACGGCAGCGTACAAGCAGCAACTTCTCGAGATGGAGACTGCTGCTGAGCAGGCCGCAGCGGCAGCAACATTGGCTGAGGGTCGGATTGCCGAGCTCGAGACTGAGCTTGCCGAGGCGACCTCTGCACTTGTCACAGCCCGCGAGCAGATGTCTGCCAGCGATGCTGCCGACAAGCAGCGGATGGCCGAGCTGGAGGCTGAGACCGCCGATTTTGAATCGTCACTCGAGAAGTCCAAGGAGCGAGTGTCCGAGCTCGAGGCGGAGCTGGGTGCAGCACGCGAGCGAGAGGCGGAGCAGAAGCAGCAAGTGGTCGAGCTCGAGGCGCAACTGGCGACGGCGACAGCAGCGCTGACCAAGGTCGTTGGCGTGACGCCGGCGGCGTCTGAGACGATGAGTGTGATGTCGAGCGAGTCTGCGATGTCTGCGATCTCTGTCTCGGACACTCCAGACGAGGTGGCGCGTAAGGAGAAGAAGAAGCGGCGGCGTCTGCGGATGAAGATGCTCAAGGCCGGCAAGAGCGAGGCCGAGATCGACGCGGCGTTGACGACCGAGGCTGCGCCGAGTCCGGCCACAGCGAGCGTGGATGATCTTGCCGCTGCGGCTGAGGCGTTTGTCTCAACTAGGGAAGCGCTTGTCGCGCAGGTGGCGGCTGCCACTGCTCGGGCCGAGGAAGTCGAACACGCTGCGCTGGCAGCGAGTACCGTGTACGAGCAGGAGCTGCAGAAATTGCATGGGAAGCTGTCTGTCGCTGTCACAGCTCTTGGGAAGGTCGTCGGAGACGATACTGGTAACCTTGTTGGCTCGGAAAGCTGGCAACATGGCTCGAGTGAGCTCTCGTCGGTACTTGGCGACAGCGCAGACGATATCGCGCGCAAGGAGAAGCTGCGTCTGGAACGTGATCGACGTGCATCCGAGTCTGACGTACCCGCGATGGTTGTTGAGTCTTTAGCGAGCCGGGCTGAGTCGGCCTTTGGCCACCGCGCTCGTGTTGACGATCTGGAGGCCGAGGTGGAAAGGCTTAACGAGCTCATCGCCGATGCTGATAAGCGTGCTGCGGATTCAGCAGCTCGCGTGGCCTTGCTAGAGGACGAGTTTGCCACGGCGGTCAACACACTCGCACGACTCGCAGGCGCGGCGTCAGTTGTTGTCACTTCTAAGGCTGAGCCTCTTACCCGGACCCCCAGCGAGCTCGAGCTTGTAATGCGTGATGAGGACACCCATGCAAGCGAATCCCAGGGACTCGTCACTCTGCTTAGCGTGGATGAGCTTGCCGATCGCGCCGAGGAACACGCCGGTCGTGCGAGAACAGCAACTATCCAAGAGCTGGAGGCTCGGGCTGTGCGTGCTGACCGCATTTGCCAGGAAGCGACCGAACGTGCCGCTGGTCTTGCTGAAAAGCTATCCTCCGCAGAAGCGACAGTTGTAGAGCGTGACGCGACAATTGCCGCACTGATGCTGCAGATTGCAGCAGCTACCAGCGCTCTACATGGGGCTGTGGGAGTGATGCCCTCGGCATCTGAGACGATGAGCGTGATGTCGAGCGAGTCCGCAATGTCTGCGATTTCTGTCTCGGACACTCCAGACGAGGTGGCGCGAAAGGAGAAGAAGAAGCGGCGGCGTCTGCGGATGAAGATGCTCAAGGCTGGCAAGAGCGAGGCCGAGATTGAGGCGGCGTTGTCGAGCGAGGCCACCGCGAGACCGACTGTGGTGGCAACGAGCGTGGACGACCTCGTGGCCGCGGCCGAGGCTGCTGCTGCCGAGCGCGTTGCGACGGTGCAGGCGCTGGAAGCTGAGAAGGCGCGTGTTGGCGAGCTAGAGTCAGAGGTTGCTGCCACTACCGCTACTGCTAAGCAGGCCGCAGCGGCAGCGACATTGGCTGAGGGCCGGATCTCGGAGCTCGAGACTGAGCTTGCTGAGGCGACCTCTGCACTTGTCACAGCCCGCGAACAGATGTCTGCCAGCGATGCTGCCGACAAGCAGCGGATGGCCGAGCTGGAGGCCGAGGCGGCGTCTTGCAAGGCGGCGCATGAGACGCAGATTGGCGATCTCGAAACCAAGGCTGCCGCTGCTACTGCAGCGACGACTGCAGCCAAGACCCACATGGCCGAGATCGAGGTGGAGCTCGCTGATGCACATGAGGCCACGGCAGCGTACAAGCAGCAACTTCTCGAGATGGAGACTGCTGCTGAGCAGGCCGCAGCGGCAGCAACATTGGCTGAGGGTCGGATTGCCGAGCTCGAGACTGAGCTTGCCGAGGCGACCTCTGCACTTGTCACAGCCCGCGAGCAGATGTCTGCCAGCGATGCTGCCGACAAGCAGCGGATGGCCGAGCTGGAGGCTGAGGCTGCGGCAGCTGCAACAGCGGCTCAGGCTCACATCGCCGAGCTCGAGGCAGAACTTGCAGCAAGTCGCACAGCCACCGCCGCTGACAAGCAGCGGATCGCCGAGCTGGAAGCCGAGGCTACGGCAAGTGCGGCCGATGGTGCTGCTACCAAGCTTCGGATTGTCGCTCTCGAGGCCGAAGTCGCTGCCATGCATGCCGCCGCCACAAGCGCATGCGAGAAGCATGCAGCCGTTGAGGAGACCAACAAGCAACGTATCGCCGATCTCGAAACCGAGGCCGCCACAGCCGCCGCCACCGCCGAGTTCCGGATTGTCGGACTCGAAGCCGAGCTTGTCGAGGCAAAGGCGGCGCTCGCTACCGCATGCGAGCAGCTGGCTACCAGCGAAGCAGAAGGCCAGCAGCGTACGGCTGAGCTGGAGGACGCTGTCCGGCGTGCTCGCGAGCTGGAGAGCGAACTGGGGGCAGAGCGCGCGCATGCGCAAGAGCAACAGTCTCACATGGCTCGGACGGCCGATGCGCTGCTTGTGCTCACTCAGCCCGAACCACCCGAGACGCTGAGCGTCGTATCTGGCGACTCGATACTCTCACTTGCGTCGGCCTCCGACTCACCGGAAGAGGCCACTCGCAAGGAGAACAAGCGCCTGCGTCGCCTACGCATGAAGCTGATGAAGGAGGGCAAGTCGCCGTATGAAATCGAAGCGGCCCTTGCCAGCGAGATCGCCGCTGCTGCGCCTCCCGCTGCACTGGAGCTCGACTCAGCCGAGATCAACAGACTTTATGCCGAGCTCGATGCTGCTCGCGCTACCAACGCGCGACTCGAGGCCGAGCTCCGCAGTCAGGGCGACAACGATGCCGTACGTTACGCCCTGCTCGATGCGCTTCCAGATGCCGATCCCGGCGCGGATGTCGTGACTCTGGCCCACGAGGCGGCGGCTGAGATTGACAAGTACGCCGCCCGGACAGCGGTACTCGAGTCCGGCTTGACCTCGGTCTCGTCAGCTGCGGCGGCAGCGCAGGTCCAGATCGAAGCCGACGAGGCTGCCCACGCCGACGCCGTCCGTGTACTCCGCGACGAGCTGGACGCGGCTCAAGCAGCGCGCGAGGCCGACGCTGCGGCCATGCAGGAGCGCCTCGTTGCGCACTCGAAGCGCCTCGAGTCGGAAACAAGTGCTGTGCTCTCCGAGCTGGACGCAGCCTATGCTCGCATCTCCGCCTTGGAGACCGAGGTCGACGCCTACCGCTCTGGTCTAGAAGCCGGTCCGAATGTCCAGCCCGCCGCCGACGATCCCGAGGCTGCCGCTCTTCGCGCCCGGCGGCAAGCACGACGCGCCCGGCTGGCGGCCTCCTCGGCAGTCTTTGAGAGCCAGGCCCGAGCTCTGGAAGCCGAGACGGCGTCGATCTGCTCCGACGCGCCCTCAGAGGCCGCGTCCATCGCCGGCGCCATCGACACGCCAGACGACATTCGCCGTCGCGAGCGCCGCGCCCGTCGCAAGGCCCGCATCTCTTCGCTTCGTGCCAGCGAGGGCGTGGGCCCAGCCGCTGCCGCAGCAGAGACGACCGAATCCGGACTTGTCGCCAGCAACGCAACACTCGCGGCATCAGTCACCTCGGACGCACCGTCAGAGGCGTCATCGATTGCGTCGGCTCTCGACACGCCCGACGACATCCGGCGACGCGAGCGTCGTGCCCGCCGTAAGGCGCGCATCTCTTCACTCCGCGCCAACGAAGGTATGTAAGCTGTGATCCTGGTGTAAACCCAATCATACCACGCCTACCGACCACCTGTCGGTCCTAATCGCCCCATCTGCTGCGTGTCGCAGCCCGACTCGATGTGCCGCCCCGCTGCTGACGCTCCTCCGACCAGCGACGAGCCTTGGCGCCAAGCCGGGCAGAGCTCTGCTTCTGTCCTCCGCACACTCGACGGCAGAACGAGTTACAGAGTCAGCTGCACGAGCAAGAACACAGCAGAGCGATGATGTGGATGGGCCAGCCGGTGATGAGGAGGCGGGGGGGAGCGGTCGCCTCGCCGCAGCACGGCTCTGGAGGCGCCAGTGTGGCGGGGCAGGGCGGGCGGACGAGCAGGGCGGGGGAGGGCGGGTGGGGGGTGCCGAGAACACCGCCGACAAATTTTAGACACGTGCACCCATCGCCGGCCCATCTCCAGCTGCAGCGCGATCACGCGGCGCTGCGGGCCCAGCACGCGGCGCTGGAAGAGGACCATCGTGTGCTGCGAGCCGAGCACCACGCACTGTCGCTTGCGTACCTCCGTGCGCAGGCCGATGCCATGTCCGCGCGGTTTGACGCCTACGCGGCGGCTGTATCGGCTGATCCCACAACGCTCCTCGCAGCGCCAGGGAGCGGGGACAAAGTCGTCAACGGCCAGACAGACTTGGCAGCGACTATTTCAGACGTGACGGGTCTGGCTAGCCATAGCGTTGATGCTGCTGCTGTCAGTGAGCGCTCAGGCCGCCGCCGACGTCGCCGCCGCCGCCGGACGCCTCGCGATGATGGCCAGCCGGTCCTCTCGACCTCAGTGCCATCCAAGGCCGCGCTTGACGCGCTCGACGCTCTGGACCGGGATGCTGTCATCGGCCGGCTGGAAGCAGAGCTTGAGGCCGAACTCCGCGCCCGCCGGCCCGAGGCTACGCCGCTTTCCGACTCGATGCTGCTGGAGCAGCTGAAGCGCAAGGAGAGCGAGGCAACCGCGTCCCGCAGCGCACTTACCTCGTCCATCGAGCATTCATTCGCCCTCCACGCAAACGCCATGGCCGCCGCTTCCGCCTCCACCAGCCATCACGCACACGCCGACTATGACGACGACGACAACGTCTTTGGCGCCAGCGCCAACGTCGAGCGCGAGTGGCGTCGTGACGGCCTGTGATCCGGCCCACTGCTTGCTCCCAGGCACCACGTTAAAGACCGCATCGCCATCAGGAAAACAGCTTCTTCTTTTTCTTCTTCTTGCGCCCGGCTCCACCGGCCGCCGCACGGTTCTGCGCCAGCCGCGCCAGCAGTTCGGCCCGCCGCTGCAGCTCGGTCTGGGAGTCGTTCAGCTCGCCGCCTGCCGGCTCCGTCATCGGGTCCGGCGACGCTGTGACACGGTCATCACTGGCAGGCTCCGTCTCACTTGCTGCAGCCTCGTATGTTTCCCGATCACGCTTTCCGCCCACCGGAGAGTTGACGACGAGCGTCGGTGCGGTCGGCTCGTCCCGGGAGACCACGACCGAGGCCGCCGACGACGACAGCACAGGCTCCGGTGCTGGAGCCATCGACGCCGAGTCGACCAGCATCGCCCGCAACATGCCACCGAGCCCCGTCTCTGACCGCAAGCAGACATTGATGGAATCGATAGCGGCGGCGTTGTGTGCAGCACCGGTCGGTCCGCCCGCGGCAGCAGGCGGCACCGCTGCGCCGGCCGCCGTCGCCAGCAGCGGCAGCAGCAGGCGGGCAAAGACAAAGGCCGACGAGGCAGGCGGTGGCAAGAGGGTAAGGACGAACGGCCAGAGCAGCTCGAGGGCACCAAGCGGCAGGCGGAGCACCAGCCGCGCGTACATGCCCTCCGCCGCTGCGGCCACCGACGCCGTCGCCGCCGCCGCCGCCGCACGCCTCGTCGATCCGTTGCTCATGCTCGCGCCCGCGCCCGCGCCCGCGGCTGCGCCGTGTGGAGAGCGAGGCAAAGCAAGGTCGGTGATGAGCGTAGGCGCAGTGGGCGAGGCCGAGGTGGTGGTGGCGGCGTTGGCGGTAGTAGCGGCGGCGGCGGTTGGGTGGAAGGAGATGGACCACGAGGCGGACGCTGACGAGGTGTTGGTGGCGATGAGCGCAATGAGCGACGCTGGCGTGTCGCCGTACATGGGCAGCGATGCAGCAAGAGCAGCATCGACTTCCTCCGGCCCGGCTTGCGCCCACCACACTCCGCCGCCGCACATCAGCACCGCCGTGTAGCTCGCATCCTCCGTCGCCAGCTGCAGCACCATCGTCTCGCGCCCGCCGCCGGCCACTTCCACCTCCAGCACCGTAACACGCCCTGCTGCAAAGCCACGCCGCTCCAGCGCCTCGGGCATCGTCAATTTGCTTGCTTCGCTCGCCATCATCGACATCAGTCAGGGTGATGGAGCTCTGAATAAAAGGAGGACTGAAAAAAGTCGAGACGTGTGTGTGCCCAACACCGGCCAGCCGCGCTGCCTGGTCCGATTACCGCCCGTGAGGGGCGGGTGATGTCACCATCTGTCCGATGTCCGGGCCTGGCTACGATCTGTCCTTGATTTGCCTTCCCAGCCAAGCCCTGCTGGTATTGTTTCTGGGCATGGTGTTAGGCAGTCGCCAGCAAGCAAGCAGTTGGGAGAGATTGCGACGGAATTTTGTGATCTGTGATCAAAAGAAGCCATGGCGGAAATGAAGCATGCGGCTCGTGTGCCCGCCACACACATGCTACTCCTCGCATCACCACACGACGTATAGCTCCATTACCTTTTCTTTTTCTCCGTGGTGTGTGTTTGTTGGGATTGTTGTGTATATCCCCGTACCCCGGAAGGACACAGCCATCGAGGCAGCGAAGTCGGGTTTTGACCGGTCTTTCGCAATCAGCACAACCACCCTCCATCCCCTTCCGCCCTCCATCCCCTACCGCCCGCCCGCCATCCCCTACCGCCCGCCATCGCCATCCCCCCGCCATCCCCTACCGCCCGCCATCGCTTGCCGCCCGCCATCCCCTGCCGCCCTCCATCGCCATCCCCCCGCCATCGCTTGCCGCCCGCCATCCCCCCGCCATCCCCTACCGCCCGCCATCGCTTGCCGCCCGCCATCCCCTGGCCCTCCGTTCCCTGCCGCCTGTCGTGGCCGCATGGCTGTCAGTTGGCTGCGGTGATCCCCGGCGGCTCACCTGCGGATGACGAACACGGACATGACACTCGACGCGAGCTACGGAGCGTCTGCGGATGACCGACGCAAGGGAAGCCGACGGCTCGGCTGCCGTTGCTCTTGCCGCCCTCCTCCCTCCCCACATTCCCGGAAAGCCCTCTGTCGCCGCCGCGTCTGCTGCTGCTGCTGTCCCGACTCAGCTGTCGGCCCTCGCCGCCGTCCGCTCCTCGCCCATCTCACCGGCAGACGCCTTGTCAGCGGCATTGACTGCTCGCCGCCTGGCTCTGGCGACAACAGTCACTTGCAGTGGCGGTGGTGTGGTTGCCGATGGCTTGCAGGAGACTGCTCGGGGCCAGTGGGCAGCCGAGTGCGAGCAGCTGGCAGCAGATCGGGCAGCAGTTGAGGCCGGGCAACAACAGCTGGCAGCAGATCGGGCAGCAGTCGAGGCGAGCAACGACAGCTGGCAGCAGATCGGGCAGCAGTCGAGGCCGGGCAACAACAGCTGGCAGCAGATCGGGCAGCAGTCGAGGGCGAGCAACGACAGCTGGCAGCAGATCGGGCAGCAGTCGAGGCCGGGCAACAACAGCTGGCAGCAGATCGGGCAGCAGTCGAGGCCGAGCAACGACAGCTGGCAGCAGATCGGGCAGCAGTCGAGGCCGGGCAACAACAGCTGGCAGCAGATCGGGCAGCAGTCGAGGCCGGGCAACAACAGCTGGCAGCAGATCGGGCAGCAGTCGAGGCCGAGCAACAACAGCTGGCAGTAGATCGGGCAGCAGTCGAGGCCGAGCAACAACAGCTGGCAGCAGATCGGGAAGCTGTGGGGGAGGGAGGCGGCGAGGCGCCATCGCTTTCGGCTGACGAGGCGATGGCGCTGCGTGAGGCAGTGCGGGCTGCAGAGCGCGAGGCCCGCTTTGCCAACAAGCGAACACTGGACGCTGAAGCTGCCCGACGACGAGCTGAGAAGCGCCTGCGTGAAGTGATAGATCGCCAGGCCGAGACGCTGCCGCTACGCGGCCGCCACTACGGCCTCCCGCCGGACCTGACTACAGCACCCGATGCGGCCATGTATGACTTTATTATCGCCGCGCAAGCAAAGCGGGCGGCGAAGAAAGAAGAGCATGTGCTCGACGTGCTCTCGATCTCACGCGGGTGGCAGCGCAAGGCGCTCGCGGCAGAGTCTCAGCTTGCGACCGCCCGGTCTGAGGTTACCGAGCTGAAGGCGCAGGTGGCGCGACTCGAGGACCAAGCTCGCATCTCCCAGCTCCACAGCACCGAGTTTGCCGAGGCCGAGGCCGAGGCCGAGGCTCTTGCCGCCGAGCTGGCGACAGTGTCGGAAGCGCATGCAGCACTGCTCAACGATGTCCGAGCGCTGCACGAGGAGAGCGCGGCGTGCGAGACGCGCCATGCGATCCAGCTCGCCGAAGCACGCGAGGCTGGCGAGGCGAGCGCGGCGGCCAGGCTGCGCGATGAGGTCCGGGCTGCCGAGGCTCGGGCAGAGGCGCGGGAGAACGAGGCTATCCGCCTGCGGACCATCGCGGCACAGCTGACAGCCGCCGGGCGAGCCAAGGATAAGCAGCTGCGCCAGATCGCCGCTAGCGGCAGTGGCCTGCCCGACCTCCATGCACGGGTCCCGTACGCACGGTACCAATGAACGCCAGTCAGAGCATCGGGGTCGGCAGCAGAAGGAACTGCTGCTCCATGTCTGCCAGCTCGGCGTCGATCTCGGCGTCGGAGATCGAGGCCGAGAGCACGGCCTCGCCGCCGTCGGTTGCCGACGACGCCGAGCCCGGGAACCGCAGGTTCGGTGTCGACGTCGACGGGTGGAGGGCGAGCGTGCTGAGCCCGTCCTGGAATAGAGTTCGCCGTGCGCTGCCCATCATGGCTGACGGCGAGTGGATGGGCGAGTTGCGCGCCGACGACTGCTGCGAGAGCGACCGGAACGGTGTGACCCTCCCGGACCGGGTCGCCTTCTTGGCGCTCTTGCGGGTCGACGACGGCGACTGCGCCACCAGTGCTCGGACCTTGGACATGAACGATGACGGCGAGGCCCGAAGCCCGGCGGCTGTCTCGCTTCGCGGCTGGTTCTGCCTGGCGTGGTCGACCGCGAGCCATGGCAGCCCGGTCTCGCCCACCACAATGTCGTCAAGGTGCGCGTCACCGGCGGCTGGCGAGATCCCTGCGCTGCCCGCGCCATCACCTGCTCCGGCACTCGGCCGCTGCGGCACGTCCACAGTGAGCCCGCGCCGTTTGGCCCGCGACGAGTCGGCCACTACCGGCGCCGTCGGTGCAGCGACCGGGCTGCCGCCCGGCACCCCCCGCGCGCGCAGCTCAGCCTGGACACGCGCAGCGATAAAGTCGGAGGAGCTTTTCGAGTCGGCCGGGGCCAGCTGTCCGTCGTTTGCGAGGCGCGACGGAGCGGCAGCCGCCTTGGCGGTGGCCGCCGCCGCAGACATGGCGGCAGCTGCAGCGCGAGCAGACGTGACTCGTGCGGCAACCTTTTCCGGGATGTCGCTCTGAGCAATGATGCCTTGCGCCGCCAACTCGGCCACTGCACACGCCGTCGCCTCGTTGCATGCCTTGAAGTGTGGAGCGAGCTGCGGGCGGGCAAGGAGCGCCGATCCGGCAGCCTCGGCCCGCGCCAGCAGCTCGTCCGGGAACATACCCTCGATGTACAGCACATTGTGAATCATGTGGACCGACGAGAGCTTCAGACCCTCATCCCCTCCTCCGACAGCGGCATCTCCATCCCCGTCCCCATCCCCATCCCCATCGGCATCGGCATCGGCATCGGCATCGGCACCTGCGTAGTCTCCACGGCCTCCGCCATCACCCTCCTCCGACAGCACCATCTTCCACTCTAGCTTTCCATCGTCAAACATGTCCACATCGATCAGCGGCAGACCATTTCCTCCCACCCGCAGCGGCGGCTGTCCCCCTCCGTCGGTCTGCCCGCCAGCGGCGTCATTGGACGAACGAACGGCCGAAGGAGCGGCATCATTGGGCGATCGTGCGGCATCATTGGGCGAAGGAGAGTAATCGTTGGGCGAACGATTGTTATGGTGGGCCAAGGAGAGCGCGACAGGGAGGACGACTGAGAGGCCCTCGTCGACCTCAAAGCCCACCACATGGTGCGGGAGACGGTTTGTTTCTGCTGCGCTCTCAGCACTCATGCCTGTGCGTCTCCCTCGGCCAGCGGCTACTCTTCCCTTTCGGCTGGGTGGGTGGCTTCAAAGACACGTGCTGAGCCGTCGAGGTCGTCGAGGAGTGGCGGGCCGGCGGGTGAGTGACGGACCGCTGGACAGAGCAGTCATTTAACTGTGTGTGTGTGAGTGAGAGAGAGAGAGGGGGGGGAAGGGAAGAGATGTTGGAACGGAGATGATGTGATCGGTTACGAGCCGCACATGACGCAGTCGTCGCGGTTGTCGATGGAGCAGACCATCTCAGCCTTGCGCTGCTCGACAACCTCCTCGATCTGGGCCTTGGACATTTCGGCGACCTTGGTCTTGTCGACGGTAAACTGGATGGCGTCGGCGGCACCCTTGGTGCGAAGGTAGTACATGCCGGTCTTGAGGCCCTTCTCCCAGGTGTAAAAGTGCATCGAGGAGAGCTTGCCGAACGAAGGCTGGGCAAGGAAGGCAGAGAACGACTGCGACTGGTCGATGAACGGCCCGCGGCCGGCGGCGAGGTCGACGAGCGCGCGCTGCTTGATCTCCCACACGGTCTTGTAGAGGGCCTTGACGTCGTCGGGGATGGCGTCGATGTTCTGGACCGAACCGCCGTGGGCGATGAGCAGGTTCTTGACGTCGTCGGACCAGATGCCGCGCTCGACGAGCTCGCGCAGGAGGTACTTGTTGACGACCATAAACTCACCCGAGAGCGTGCGGCGCATGTACATGTTCGACGAGATCGGCTCAAAGCACTCGGTGTTGCCAAGAATCTGCGAGGTCGAGGCCGTGGGCATGGGCGCGACAAGGAGCGAGTTGCGGAGGCCGGTGGCCTGGATGCGGGCCTTGAGGGCGGTCCAGTTGTAGCGCTCGTCGGTCACCTCTGCGTCCCACAGATCAAACTGGAGGAGTCCCTTGGAGGCCGGTGAGCCCTCAAAGGTCTCGTACGCGCCGTTCTTCTCGGCGAGCTCGGCCGAGGCCTCGCAGGCGGCGTAGTAGATGGTCTCAAAGATGTCGCGGTTGAGAGCGGCGGCCTCGGGCGAGTCAAAGGGGAAGCGCATGAGGGCAAAGGTATCGGCAAGGCCCTGGACGCCGAGGCCGATGGGCCGGTGGCGGAAGTTCGAGTTGCGAGCCTCGGGCACGGGATAGTAGTTGAGGTCGATGATCTTGTTGAGGTTGCGGGTGGCGACCTTGACGACTGACGCGAGCTTGTCAAAGTCGTACGAGCCAGTGGCCGTGTCGACAAACTTGTTGAGCGCAATCGAGGCGAGGTTGCAGACGGCGACCTCGTCTGCCGACGTCACCTGCATGATCTCGGTACAGAGGTTAGAGGAGCGGATGACCCGGCCCGAGTGGACCTGGTTCGACTTGGCGTTGATCGAGTCCTTGTACAGGATGTACGGCGAGCCGGTCTCGACCTGCGTCTCGAGAATGGCAAACCAGAGCTTCTGGGCAGGGACCTGCTGGGTGAAGCGGCCCTCGGCCTCGTACTGCTCGTACAGGGCCTTGAATTCGTCACCGTAGACGTCCGAGAGGCCCGGGCAGAGGTGCGGGCACATCAGCGACCACACGCCGCCAGACTTGACCCGCTCCATGAAGAGGTCCGGAACCCAGAGGGCGTAGAACAGGTCGCGCGCGCGCTGCTCCTCGGCGCCGTGGTTGAGCTTGAGGGCAAGGAAATCAAAGACATCGGCATGCCACGGCTCGAGGTAGACGGCAAAGGCACCCTTGCGACGGCCACCGCCCTGGTCGACGTACCGCGCCGTGTCGTTGAAGACCCGGAGCATGGGAACAATGCCGTTCGACGTCCCGTTGGTGCCGGCAATGTACGTCCCGGTCGCACGGATGTTGTGGATCGAGAGGCCGATGCCGCCCGCAGACTTGGAGATGAGCGCACAGGTCTTGAGCGTGTCGTAGATGCCCGTGATCGAGTCGGCCTTCATCTCGACGAGGAAGCACGACGAGCACTGCGGCTTGGGCGTGCCGGCGTTGAAGAGGGTCGGCGAGGCGTGGATCATGTACTTTTGCGAGAGCAGGTCGTACGTCTCCAGCGCAGCCTCGATGTCATCCTTATGGATGCCGACAGCAACGCGCATCAGCATGTGCTGCGGCCGCTCGGCAATCTTGTCGTTGGTCTTGAGCAGGTACGACCGCTCGAGCGTCTTGAACCCGAAAAAGTCGTACTCAAACGACCGCTCGTACCTGACTGCCGCGTCGAGCGTCTCGGCGTTGGCCGCCACAATCTCCGCAACCTCGTCCGAGATGAGCGGGCACGGCCGCTTGGTGATCGGGTGCACGTAGCCGTGAAGGTGGGCAATGACGTCCGAGAACTTGTCCATCGTCGTCTTGTGTAGGTTCGACACCGCAATGCGGGCAGCAAGAATGGCAAAGTCCGGGTGCCGCGTCGTGTTGTACGCGCACGTCTCCGCCGCGAGCTCATCAAGCTGCGCCGTCGTCACGCCCGGGAACACGCCCTCGGCCACCTTTTGGGTGATCTGCTCCGGAATGATGTAGTCCATGTTGAGCCCATCGCAGAGGTTGGCAATCCGCGCAGTGATCTTGTCGTACTTGACCGTCTCGTGCGTGCCATCGCGCTTGACCACGTAGAACCGCTGAGAAAGCATAGTCTGAGTGAGTTGTGCGTGTGCTTATGGGGGGGGGGGGGGGGGGGGGGTGTTAAGGTGGACGAGAGGGGCGAGAAAAAAAAAGTCGTCATGCCCAACATTGGATGGCGCTCACATTGGATAGCGTCCACAATTCTACCGACGGCGCATGCCACCACCACAAGCCCGCGGGCCAGCGGGCCAGCCCCGGTTATGGGGCTAACACTGGGCCTAGCGTGGACAAGGAGACACTCCGGGGTCACAAACTGGCATGGTTGCAAGAACACAATATGGAGTATGATGTAGGGATGGTGGGTGGTGGTGGGATGGCCCCATCATGGGTGGGCGGGTGGTGGAGGGTGGGTAGAATCCATGGGCCAAAAAGGGTCGTATTCCCTGTCCTCCACCACCGTCTCCCGCACACCTTGTATGGACTCGCCCAGCGCATCAAAGCAAGGTAGGAAGCTCAAAACACCAGGGGAGGTGCATGACATTGGTGGCTATGAGGGAAGGCTACTCGTTGCTGACTTACCTCCGACATTCTGGATAACTTCGAAGAGGCGTGTGGCTCAGTCTCACGGTCTCCACCTGCCGGTGCCTGCGCGTGCTCCACTGACCGACCCAACCAACTCGACAAACTCGGCCAACCGACTCGACCGACCGACTTGACCGACCTGCACGATTACGTGCCTGGTGTTGATCCAGGACCAAAGTGTGTGACCAACACGAGAAAGTCGCCCATACGCATCAGTATGATCCCAAGCTCCCAGTAGATGATGCCCATATCCACCATTTCCCTCCAATCCGATCACATCAGCCTCATCTCCATCCGGTCCAGTCCCGCCAAAGTCAACCCACGCCCCCCCCGCCAACACCCCCCCACCCCCTCCCCTCGTTCAGCGGACAACCACCCACCGTACGTACACTACACCCACTCCCTTCAGCCACCACAAGTCACACTCTCTGCACGTCACCTTCTGCAACTGTGTGTGTGTGTGTGTGTGTGTGTGTGTGTGTGTGTGTGTGTGTGTGTGTGTGGGTGTGTGTGCCTCTGCCTCTGCCTCTGCCTCTGCCTCTGCCTCTGCCTCTGCCTCTGCCTCTGCCTCTGCCTCAGCGTCTGTGTGCAGCCCCCCCCCCTACCTGTGTGATCTGTGCAAGTTGACGACGACGGCAACGTTGGAGTATGGCGGAATCTGGATGGAGTGGACTCGCTGGACATGCATCGCCCGCTGTTCATGCGTATCTGGCGGGAGACAGTGGTCTGCGTGCTGAGAGCGTACCGAGCGATCATCACCATGATCATCACCATGGTCATCACCAACTCCCTGCTGCTGATCGCCAGCATCATCGCACCGACGAGTACGGTGGAGGTTACTCGGCATATGGCGTGTGGGACTCGTTTGTGACGCCAACCCGGAGGCAGGAGCACAGAGCTGTCGGGTGGGGCGGGCGGCATTCGCCGTTTGCTGGCCTCGACCTGCGCCCGCATCCGCGCTCGGAGGCCCCCTCTAGAGTCGTAGCAAGAGATCGTGCAAGGTTCAGCCACTCGCGTGGCCGTAGCGAGCATGTGGACGATGAGCCGCGCTTCCCGTTTTCCCGCGGCTCACTGTTCGAGGCTGCGTCACAGGGGAGACTTGGCCCGCGCCCGGTCTCACCGGCGCACAACGACAATGACCTGGACGACATAACCATTGGCTCGTCGCTCCCGTCGTCACCGTTTGCCCGCTCACCAAGAGAAGGATCACCCCGGCGACAGGGTCGGCACGAGAGTGGCGCGAGCAGCAGCGGCGGCGACAACGACGACGATGAGACCTCGGGCTGCGCCGCGTTGATGCGGGCGCGGGCGCGGCCGGCAACAGTACAAGCCGGGTACGCGTCGCGGCGGGCACAGTGGCGCGAGCCGTCGGACTCACGGTCCGGCGGAGGATCCGGGCGATCGGAGGGCGGCTCCGAGAGCGACGGCATTCCGTTGGTGTGGCGCCGGAGCGAGGGCGGCGACATGGCGGTGGTGGCTCTGGACACTGATGACGTCCGGGGAGGTGGGTCACGGCCGGGATCGGCGGCGGCTACGCCGCGGCCTGGAACTTCGGCGGCGGCAGCCGGCGATGGGACTAGCAGGGCGTCCACTGCGGCGGAGGCGGGATCGGCGCGAGCCTCGCCGAGCTCCGGCGGGCTCCGACGCATGGCGTCGCACCGTTCGATTGTACTCGGCGCGTCGTGGCGGCGAGTGGTCGACCAGGCATTGGCGATGGCGGCCGAGTCGGACGACGCCTCGGGCGTTCTTGTCCCGCTCGTCACCGGGTGGCGGGGACGGATGGACAAGGGCGTCACTTCGCTTGTTCTCTCGCCGGTCTTTGTTGCTGCGCTCACGCTTGCGCTCCTCTTATCAGTTGTCGTCGATGACATACTGATGGCAGCGGCGCTGCCGTTGTCGCCGCACCAGGCCGCCTTGGGGGTCCTTGCTGGACTGGTTCATCTGGTGGCGGCTGGCCTGCTTGCCGGACAGATTTTGGTCTCGGCACGGGTCGGAAAGGCGCGGTACTTGCGATCGGTGGTGTTTGCGACCGAACTGGCATCGCTGGTCTCGTTTGTCTTTCCCATCATCTCACTCGGTGCTGGACAGCCGGCCGAATGGCTCCTGTTTGGCCGGCTAGAGCCAAACGCGCGAATGGCGGCGTGGCAGGCATGCCACGGCGTTGTGATTGCGACGCGGTGCCTCGGGTTTGGGCGGGCGATGGTGTGGGTGGGCATGGCAGCGGCGACGCGGTTCCGCGGCTCTGTGCACGGCGTTGCTCGGTTTGCGCATGTGTCCGTGTACGGAGTGCTCGGCGCGGCAGTGGCGACATGGGTGTGTGTGGCCGTGCTCGTGGCGGCACCTCCGCTCGCACCGCACCTGCACGCGGCGATGTACTCGGTGGAGGCAGCGACGAATGCGACGACGCTGCACCCATTGACGCCGCCGGCGTGGGTGGCGCCGTTTGTGGCCGCGTACGGCGGCGGAAGCGGGGATCCGGAGCTTGTTGCGCTGAAGGTGCTGGGCCAGCGAATGCGGATTGCGAGCAGCGGCGCGACGACCAAGTTCCAGCCGATGTATGTGGTGCACGCGATGACGGCGTCAGGAACGCATGCGGTGCTGGATGTGTCGGCACACGCGGCGACTGTCGGCGGGCTGGCTCTGGTCCGGACGCTCTGCCTCGTGGCGGTCCTGTTTGCCAGCGCAGTGGGCGTGAGCACAGCAGTGACGCACCAGCTCGGGCTGTGGATTGCGCGGACACTTGTGCTTGTAGGCTCGCTCTGCGACTCGGTCTCGTCCGAAAGCGGGCGACATGTTGGTGTCGGCGATGGCGGTGGCGATGCGAGCGCGAGAGAGGCAAAGAATGGCGGGCACGCTGTGAGCTTTGCGCAGCAGATGGATGTGTCGCTGGCGAGCCTTGCGCCAGAGCCGGTGAACCGAAGCGGCTCCGAGGCGGTGATGCGGACGCGTTATCTGGAACTCCGCGTGGCTCAGCTGGAACGCAACGTGCTCGAGGCGCTTCCAGAGATTGAGGTGGAGGTGTCACAGATGAGCACGTCGTCGTCGTCGTCGTACGACTCGTACTCGTCCGAGTACGGGGCGCGGTGGGCTGCGGCGCTCGGGCGGCGCTCGTCGTCGTGCTCTGTGGCCGGCTGGGAGGAGCTCTCGCGCGGAACGTCGTCAGACTCGAGTGCGACCATCTCATCGCTCGGGCTTACGCCGTCGTGGTCGACAACAGCGTCGTCGGACTCTGAGCAGGCTATCTACCGCGAGCAAGTGCGCGGGATGCGTGCGCGGAAGAAGAAGCAGCTTGCACGGCAGGCCCTGGCGCGAAAGAGGAAGCGGCGGCGGCGGCGTGCAGCAGCGCGGGTGCGGCGGATCCAGGAGCACGCAGTGCTCGGCGGCGGATCGTACGAGGCGGTCCACATCGAGTTTGACGCTGTGGAGCGGTTGTTCCGCACGCGGATCGACGGGCGGTTTGGGTACGAAGGTGGAATCCTTGTGGCTGCGCCTGTGTACGGGCTGCTTGAGAAGCTTATGCACCCGCCGTCGTGGGAGGCGCGGTTCCAAACAATGATTGTGGTGACGCATGTGATGTTCATGTCGTCGCGCGACCTGCTGGAGGCGCTGGTGCTCCGGTTCTGCGCGCCGCACCCCAAGGCGCTTGTGCGGCGGGTGGAGGGCCGGAGCGAGACTACAACAAGCTGGAGCGCGGACGACGAGCGTGAGTTTGAAGTGCAGGTGGCACGGCCTGTCCGCGAGCTCATCGTGTCTGTGGTGGCCGAATGGGCTGCGCGGCGGCCGGGCGACTTTGGGCAAGCGTCGGTGACGCGGCGGATGCTCGACGAGTTTGTAGGCCGGCTCTGTCCGGCGGTCGGCCTCTCGTCGGGGAGCAAGACGGTGCTGGAGGCACTGGGTAAGGCGGCGAGCATTGCGCATGCGCGGCCGTCGCCCGGCAGCGCGCCTGTACCGCGACTTGTGGGCGGGCCGATGTCACTGGTGACGGTGGACGCAACCGAGGTTGCACGGCAGCTGACGCTTGTCGAGTCGCACTTGTACCGGAGAGTGACAGCGGAGCAGCTTGTGGGGTTGGGGTGGACCAAAGCGGACAAGGACCGGCGGTCGCCGGACGTCATGCGCGTGTTTGACCACTTCAATCGGGTAGGCGCGTGGGTGCAGGCATCGATCCTGGAGCCTGTACGGGCGTCGGGCCGGGCGGAGCGTGTGGAGAAGTTTATCGCCATTGCGCGCGAGCTGCGCGAGCTGAACAACCTCAACGGTGTGCTTGAGATTTACGGCGGGCTTACGTCGCACGCGGTGAAGCGGCTGAGCCACACGTGGAAGAAGGTCTCTCCGGAGGCACTGGCCGAGCTGGAGTCGATGCGCGAGCTCGGTTCTGCCAAGGCATCGCACAAGGCTTACCGCGAGGCGCTGGCACGCTGCGGAGGACAGGCGTGCGTCCCATTCCTGGGCGTCTTTCTTCGCGATCTTGTACTTGTGCACGAGGGCAACGAGACGATGGTGGACGGCAACGCCGAGTCCGGAGGGATGGTGCAGGTCAATGTGCGCAAGTGCGCGATGACGTCCGAGACTGTTCTCTCGATTCTAGGATGGCAGGAGTATCTGTATCCGTTTGTGGCGGTGCCCGAAGTGCGGCGGCTGTGGGAGGACTCGACGCTGATGACCGAGGACGAGCTGTTCGCGTTGTCGCTCTGTGTCGAGCCGCGGTTGTCTTGACGACAGCGAATTTAAGGTTAAACTAGCCGGTGATACCCTTGGTCCAGGGCGTGACAAAGTCATGCGAGTGGATCCACTTGTTGGCGGCGTACTTGACGCCCTCAATGACAGGAAGAGCGGCATGGCGGACCATGGGATGGGCGCGGTAGGAGCCCGGGGCGACGTTGGGCCAGACAATAAGGCGGCCCTGCTTGGGCCGAACCTTGAGGCCGAGGTCAACAAAGGCGGTCTCGCCGCCCTGGGCGACGTCGTTGAGGTAGAGGAAGGCGGTGAGAGTGCGGCCGGCACCCGGGGTGTGCCACTGTGTGTCGATGGCGTCGGTGTGCTCCTTGTAGAACTCGCCAACGTCATAGTGCAGCAGCTGGTAGTGCTCCGAGTTGACGTCGGGGACGCGGGTGATGTTGGTGAGGCGCTCAGAGACGCGCTGCAGGACGAGATCATCGTAGCACGCGTGGGTGCACCACGCGTTGGACGAGGTGCGGACGTCCGAGACTGGGCGGACAAACTTGCCGTCCTCCATGTGGCCGGTGGTGGTGGAGCGCTCGAGCCCCATGTCGTGCGCCCACTTGATAAAGACGGCGCACTCATCGGGAGTGACAAAGCCGTCGATCTGAAAGATGATGGGGTCCTCGGAGAGAACGGCAAAGCGTGAGCCATAGGCCTTGCGGACGGGCGAGTCCGGCGCAATGACATCGCGGAGCATGGCGTGGACATCAAAGATAGGCTCGCCGTCCTCGAGCATGTAGTAAGGCTTGGAGCGCTTCCAGCCGGTCTCCTCGTTGTACGCCTGCGCCGCCAGCCAGTTTGCCCGCACATCCCGCTGGCGCGCAGCCCGAGCGGCAGCATCGTCCGGCGAGACCGACATGCCGCCGGTGAGCACGAGATCAAACGGCCGCTTGCCGTCAAACATATTGTTGTAGTGCCGCGGAGGCGCCATGCCCGCAGCCGTGTCACTCGATGAGAGCTGCGGCCAGAGGAGAAGAGCCGCGGCGAGGACGACCACGGCAGCTGCCACCAGCCACGGCGAGAGTGACGAGGTCGGCGGGGCGGGCGAGGAGGACGACTTGGTCCAAGCAGTCTTGCGCGAGGAAGTGCCCGAGGGCGACTTGGATGCCTTGGAACGAACCTTCTTCTTCTTGGCCATGGTGAGAGTGGGTGGGCCGAGGGTGTGAGTGAGGTGCCGTGGTCGGTGTCGGTGTCGGTGGTGGTGGGTGGGCACGGCGGTAGTGGCGTTGGAGTGGGTCAGGTTCGGTTGGAGAGGGGGTGGGGGGTGGGGGGGTGAGGTTAAAAAAATGTCCAGCTCGAGTTCCAGCGAGTCTGGATCGAACTCGTCTGCAAACTAAAGCACTGCAATGACGCGAGGGAGCAGCCGATGGGCGGCGGCGAGACATCCACTGATTGGTTTAGGTAGCGTGTGTTGGCCGTTTACAAGAGTATTGGCGTGATCGTGTGTGTGGGCGGGTGGTCGATCGGTGGGTCGGTCGGTCGGTCGGGCCGCGGCAGGCACAGGGGGCGACGGCGGCCACCCTTCTCTCTGGCGACGAGGGACCATGTCTGGCTTGGGCGGATTCCAGCAGCTGAAGGACACTACGCCTGTGGTGCTCGACCCTGGTATTCTGGGCAAGTTGTGGGGCATTGCGCCTACCATTGACGTGACCAAGGTATGTTGGTGTGGTGTGGTGTGGTGGGTGGGTGGTGGGTGGGTGGTGGGTGGTGGGTGGCGGTGGCGGTTGGCGGGGGCAAGGCACAGCTGAGGGCTGGGCGCGCGGGGAGCGTGGGGAAGGGGGGGTGGCATGGAGACATGGAGGCATGGAGATGGGATATGGGAGGGAAAGAGTGGTGGGTAGGTGCCTGGTCCTTCCGTTGGGACGTCATGATCATGATCATGATCATTGTCTCGGATGTGCTCTGCTCAGGGGGACAGCCAACTGCGACAGGACTCACTCGAGGCGGAGCGGGACGGAACGCGGCATGGTGGTGGCTGGCGTCGGGACGGGTGAAACCGACGGGGGAGGATGTAGGCGACCCAAAATGAGATCGCGAGAAACTTGTCGGAGCAGATTGCAGAGCGAATCCACAAGACGACGTCGCTGCAGATCAACGCCAACGTCAAGATCATCGACAACTTGTGGGGATTTGACAAGTTGACCGAGCTCAAGCTGGACAACAACTGCGTCGAGAAGATCGAGAACATTGATCATCTGGTGACGCTGACGTCGCTGGACCTCTCGTTTAACGCCATTGAGACGCTCGAGGGCCTCGCGCCGCTGACCAACCTCACCGACCTCAACGTGTCGTCCAACAAGATCTCCAAGCTCGAGGGCTTGGAGACGCTGTCCAAGTTGGAAATCCTCATGCTCGGGCACAACAACATCGGGGCGCCAGCGAGCGGGGCCGAGGTCGACCCCAAGGCGCAGATTCGCGAGCTCAAGTACCTGCGGCAGTTCCGCGAGCTGCAGATGCTGACGCTCGAGGCCAATCCGGTGGCGGAGAACCTCGACTGCGAAAAGTATGTCATCTCGCACTGCGAGAGCCTTATGTACTACAACTTTCGGCTGGTGGACGACAACATGCGCAAGCTCGCCGCCGAACGGTTCAACGACGACGTGGTCCTCATCCGCGCCGAGGAGGCCGAGGCCGAGGCCGCGGCGGCGTCGGCGGCGGCGAGCCAGGCCAAGCTCGACGAGCTCAAGGCCGCGAACTTGCTCGGCTTCCACGGCCTCTTTGAGGCCATGTTCCACGAGGACCCGGACTTTCCCAAGTGGTCGACGATGCCGGGCCTCGACGCGCCGCTCGACAAGTACCGCGAGTCGTTTGCGGCCATGACTGGTCCGTTCAAGGCCGCCATGCTCGCCATGCATGCCCAGATCCAGGAGCAGGTTGCCACGTTCTACGCCGAGATGGCAAGCGCACGTGAGGCTGTCGAGGCCGAGGCCATAGACGACATTGCCGCCTTTGACGAGTGGCGACGCGGCGCGCTGTACCCGAATCTCAACGCGCTCCTGCAGCAGGCTGCAAGCAACGAGTCGATGGTCGACCTCTTTGACGACGAGCTGGAGCACAAGCTCCTACCGGCTATCCAGGCGCTCGAGGACAAGCTGATGGAGATGGAGATCTTCCAGGTCGAGCAGTTTGACGACGCCGTGGTCAAGTTTGAGCGGGTCATCAACGACATCACCTCCAACTACTCGTCCGACGTCATCTCGTACGTCATCGCCCTTCGCGACATGGAGACTGAGTTCTCGTCCATGTCGCTCAAGCTCGGCGAGCTCCTGCTCGAGCAGTTCCACGACGGCTCGCTCGAGGACGACATCCCGCAGTCGCTCGGCCTCCTGCTGAACGACAAGGAGGCCTTTGTCAACATGATCTCGGCCTCGCACGACTTTCGTCTCGACAAGATCAATGCTAAGGATGACGAGTTTACTCTCCGTAACCAGCAGGACGTCGACGCCATTCTCGACAAGATCCGCCACGAGCTCCGCGTCCGCAACCGCAACCGGGTCCAGGAGATTGCCCAGCTCACCGATCAGTACCGGGCCGAAAAGGTCAAGATCGCCCGCGACGGCCTGCCGCAGAGCATGCTATAACGACAGTGTTGCAGGTAGTGGCCATGTTGCGGTAATTGAGTACACCGAGCGAGTGAGCAAGCGTGTTGAGCGTAATTGCTGCTGGCGTCATCGGCGGCATCGGCAAAACGTGGTGACGGTGGATGACGCCATACGCAACCATAAAACCAACGTTGAAGTTATTAATTTGAGCAGAGAGGGTTGCGAGGGGAACAGGCAAGCAGAGAGCGGAAGCAAGCGAGACCGAGAGACAGACACACACACACATCACTGACCGTGATTGAGAACAAGAGAGAGAGCATGTCATCTGAGGGAGCATCGACCGAGTATGATCTTGTTGTGATTGGTGGAGGTAGTGGAGGTATGGGCCTTGCTCGGCGGGCAGCCGAGTATGGAGCACGTGTGGCGGTGGTGGAGAAGGACCGGCTCGGCGGAACGTGCGTCAACGTCGGCTGTGTGCCCAAGAAGGTCATGTGGAATGCCGCCAATCTGGCGTCGACTCTGGGATACATGCCTGGCTACGGACTTGGGGTGAGCAAGGAGGCGCTTGCTCTTGATTGGCCCACGCTCAAGGCCAACCGCGATGCCTACGTCGCACGGCTCAATGGCATCTACGAGCGCAACCTGGCAAAGGCCAACATCGAGTACGTGGTCGGCTCTGCGAGCGTGGCGGGCAAGGGCCTCGTTGCGGTTACTGCTGCGGACGGGTCCGTGACTGAGCTCAAGGCCCCTCACGTTGCCATTGCCACCGGCGGCTACCCGTGCATCCCGCCCGAGATGGTTGGCGGCGAGCACGTCATCACCTCGGACGGCTTCTTTGAGCTGGAGGAGGCGCCGGCAAAGGCCGCCATCATCGGCGCTGGCTACATTGCGGTCGAGCTGGCCGGCGTGCTTGCCGAGCTCGGGACCGAGGTCCACCTGTACGTGCGCAAGCACGCGGCGCTGCGGGCGTTTGACGCCGACGTCGTCGAGTCGCTCACCGACGCGCTCGAGCACTCGGGCATCATCCTCCACACCTTTTCGCCGATCGGGAGCGTGGCCAAGGACGAGGTGTCGGGCAAGCTGACGGTGACGACTGCTGGCGAGAACGTCGAGGTCATTGACGGCTTTGACGTCGCGGTTGCGGCCATCGGGCGGTGCCCCAACACCGACGGGCTCGGCCTGGCGGAGCTTGGTGTGGCAGTGCAGGACTCGGGCCACATTGTAGTCGACGACTTCCAGAACACGTCTGTCGAGGGTGTGTACGCGCTCGGCGACGTGTGCAACAAGCGTGTGGACCTCACGCCGGTGGCGATTGCGGCCGGGCGCAAGCTTGCGGCACGGCTGTTCAAGGGCGACGCCACAGCCAAGATGGACTACACCAACGTGGCGACGGTCGTCTTCTCGCACCCGCCCATCGGCACTGTCGGGCTCACCGAGGCCGAGGCGCGGGAGCAGTTTGGCGACGACGCGGTGACCACCTTCCGCTCGCGGTTCACCAACATGTTCTACGCCATGGGTGACGACAAGCCAAAGACAATGATGAAGCTTGTGTGTGTCGGCGACGAGCACCGGGTTGCCGGCATCCACATTCTCGGCCTTGGCGCTGACGAGATCATCCAGGGCTTTGCCGTTGCCGTCAAGATGGGCGCGACCAAGGCCGATCTCGACGCCACCTGCGCCATCCACCCGACTGCTGCCGAGGAGCTTGTGACCATGAGGTGAATGCGGAATGAACGAGGGGTCTCCCCATACAGGATCTCCCCCTAGCGGGGCCTCTTCCCTATCCGATCCGTCTTGGCATCTTCCGACTCCCGTCCAACCTGTCCCCGCACCCCTTCGCCCGCCAACCGCCAGCCGACACCGCCCCCTCGCTCTCCCTCCCTCACCCACAAGACATAGGGAAACCTTGAACTTAAAAACGTTAATTAAGAAAACAGTACACACAAGCGGATGGTACAAAAAGAAGAGTATATCTAACCTTGCTG